GCATGCAGCTTCCAAGGACAGGAGCCTGTCTTCAGACCCATGGTTCATCTGGAAACTAAATGCATCATATGGCTTGAATCTATTTCCTGTGGCTGTAAAAGACATGATTGGGATAGAAGGCTAGATCTGAAAGTGATCTGAGAACTCGGTGTTAATCATGCTCTATTCATGTCTGGATTTTAATGCTGCATTGTGGGCTTTTAGTAAATACATGCCGAAAAACTCAGAGGTAATGGTGGATTCCTCTGGGAACTTATTTGCAAAAGGATTCTGAAAAACTTCTTTTTGCTATGTAGTAATGGTTGGGATAGGAAGTGTGGCCCTGAGAAGTTTTCAAGGTATCCTCCCCAGCTGGTGGCGCTGTTTAGCAGATAGGAGGAGGGAGGTCAAAGTTGGAATGCATTTGAAGGGGAGACCCTTCTTGCTCTCCCTCTGCTCCCCACACACCCTGAAGTGGGCGGCTGTGTGCCAAGTCCCCCTCTCTGCCATGACACACTACTCTGCCTCAGCCCCAAAGCAATGGAGCTGCTGTGAACCGGAAACCACTGAAATCCCAGATTAACTCTCCTTTTGAATCAGTCTCTTTGGGGGTGCATTGTCATAGCAATGGCAAGCTGACTAACATACTGTAGGTCAAATTCTCATCTAAATTCGTGATTTAAAAAAAAAGATAGCGAGGAGAATGAGGAACTGAGGAGAGGAAGAGAAGCAAATGACCCCTGGGAGGCAGAGAGGAGGAAGCCAGGGTTCCGAGCAGGAAGGTGATTTCATAGGATATATGGGTGTGCAGATCCCATGGAGATCAAAAGGCAGATGCTTTTATGAGCCACACCGTAATCGGGTGTGGCTTTTCTCACGTACCAGTGTACATCCTTCCTGGTGTTTCTTTATCCATTTCTTGTTAGGAGAGAAGAGCACACATTGGTGACATTACCGTCTCAGGAACAAATACTCAGGGAGAGTAGTTTTCAGGCTCTCTCTTCTTCCAGCCTTATTCATATTTATATATTCATATATGTATAACCCAAGAATGCATCTCTTTGTGGATTTAAGGCTCTGAGTAACAATAATTATTCTAAATTATACTATTAGAACACAATGTTCACACAAATACACATACACATATATGCACACCCTTAGAAAAATAATACAACACAAATACACATAATAAGCCCACCCTGAGGGAAATATCACAACACACCCACAATAAGCACACACATAAAAATCAGAAATAACATAAATGACACATACACAAATAGACACCCACAAAGATACCATGTATGTACTACATAGGAGGTAACTTTGCTTAAGAAATGCCTAAAAGTCTCCCACAAACAATACTTTTTAAAATAGAAAATTACACCTTATGAGCCACCTACCTTATCTTATATTGTAGGCAGCAAACTATGTCAGGTAAACTGAGCTTTGATGGCTGCTATAGTTATAAAAATGCTTGCTCTAATTATGTGATTGTTTCAGGAAGTATAATTATCATTTATACTGGGCTATGTCCTTTATGAGCATGTAAATTTTAGTATCTACATGAGCTATGGTCTGCTTCCTGCAGCCTTTACAAGTGATGGGGCTTTCTGCCCCTGGAGAATCATCTTCATCATGTAGTGGAGCACTTCACTCTGTCAGGGACTTTACAGTCATGCTTATTGACTCCTAAAGGTTAGTTTCAAGATATTGGTCTCTCCATTGAGGACAGATAAACAGTCCACATTCTTACAATTTCCAGGGGGGTGAAACCATAGTGGTGGCTGTGCCTCTACAGCACAAGATGCTAACAGCTAGGTAAATAATGGTGGAGATACAAAGCCTGAGAAGAATGGGGACTTTGGTGGGAAATCAGGTGTCTTCAGTGAGCAATCCAGAGTCTGATTTGGGAGGTAACCATACATTTCTATAGATGTGATGAACCATAGCAGTGTCATCCCTGAAGTTCTGGGGGCTGGACATCTAAGAATAAGTTGCTGGCACATCAGGTGAGGGCCTCTTTCCGGTTTGTAGAAAGCTGTCTTTGGTCAGCATCCTTACTCAACAGGCTAATCCTGGTGCTCCCTGTCCTAATGACGGACTTATCTTTTTATGCCATCTTCTCGGAGGTCAAGGCTTCAGCATGTGCACTGGGGGGACACAGTGGTCAGCCCTAACCCTGCCTGCCTGTGTTTTTGAGGACTTTTCCCTGGCCTGCCCCAACCCCTGGCAGCCAGCCCCGTCCGTTCTGGATTGGGTGGCAGATTTGATACTTGCACAGAGCAGCTTTCATTCACTCAGATCTCAAAATCATATCCTGAAATGAAGGCCATGAAACATGCCAATGGCTCACCTTAATTCAAGTGCCTAAGACACATCGTTTGTTTTTAAATTAATAGTGGTGAGGATAGATTTATTTCAAAGGGAGATCCTCAGGTACAGGACCAAAAAAAAGGGGGGGGGGACTGGAAGAAGAGCAGCACAGCGTTGGACCTAGGGCCTATCACGCGCAGGGTCAGGGATCACATTCTCCCTCCATGGACCCTCTTGTCCTTTCTGGTCTGGCTGGCCACTGCTATAGTCCCACTGTCCTTCATTCATGAGCTCAACCCTTTGCTCCTTTTCCTGTCTCCATTTCCTCTCTAGTGACATATGCCCTGCACAAAGACCACTCCTGTTTTCTGAAGTGATACATCCATAGGAATGACTTCCAACTTTATTGCTGAGGAGGTGTAAGCCTTAACTCCCAAGTCCGATGGGCCAAGGTGTAAATCTAAACTTGTAAGAAATACAAAACATTATAGCAATTACCTCTGCATCTTGTCCTCCTAGAAAGTTTGGATAATCGCTGCATTCAAAGTGCTTAGCACTGTGAAAGGGAGAATGAGTCTTGTGTTGGAGTAACAAGACACAAAAACCAAGAGAGCAGCATGTAGTAATAAACAAACTGAATGTGATCATAAAATCAACTATCAACGTATAGAATACTTTGAGAGCAGTGGAAATTGAGAAAAAGGACAATCATCGTGGAGATTCTGTAGGTCTGAGTCAGATTCAGAGGCCTTGAGAGGTGGGAAAATACCCCTGCGAGAGGAAAGCATCAGGTATGAGTCAACAGAGAGGAGACTGAGTTCGATTCGACAAGGAGAAAAAAGAGAACTTTTCCAAGAACGTTAAACTTCGAAGGGCTCTGGACAGTGAAGTCTGACCTTGTTTTACTGAGCCATGTAACTGCTGGCTGCCCATGGATTGAGACTGGATGCAGTTTTCCTGCCAAGTTAGGATGAGGATGGAAAATGGATGGAGTTTTCCTGCTAAGTTAGAATGAACAGAGACAATGGCTGTTGGAAGTGGAGTGGTACCAGGGATGTGGAAATCAGCTTGTAGACTATTCATTTAATGACAAGCCTACTGCAATAGTGCATGCGTATAATCATGCCCCTTTCGCTTCCCCACCTAAGGATCCGTGAGACAGGGTGACCCCAAATCCCAGGCCAGCCTGGACTACATCAAATGACAAAAAGGATGCAGAATACTGGTTTGACATACTAAGCACTCAATGAAAATGTTAGCTATGGGCTGGGAAGGTGGCTTAGCAGTAGTGCTTGTCTTGCATGCATGAGGCCCTGGGTTCAATTCCTCAGCACCACATAAGCAGAAAAATCCGGAAGTGGGACCATGGCTTAAGTGGCAGAGGGCTAGCCTTGAGCTGAAGAGCTGAGGAACAGCACCCAGGCCCAGAGTTCAGGCCCCGTGACAGACCAAAAAAAAAAAAAAAAAGAAAGAAAAAAGAAAATGTCAGCTATTAGAAAAGTTTCAGAGACTGGTCTGGTACCAGTGGGAAGGTTGTGAAAAAGAAACAGCAAGACCACATTTGAAAGCATCAGGAATTACTTTATTAGGATGACTCCTAAATTGCTTGGGGCTTGCTTATTTATGAGGCAAAGGAATGGGGACAGATCTTATGTCAACATCTAAATTTTTCTACATCTCTACACATTTAACTACTTTAAGGGCAATGTACTCTAATGCATGCTGCTAACTTTCAGTTCACAGCGGTCATTTGCAAGGGATCCTGAGCCTACTTTTAACCCCAACATTTCAACAACGGTTTTGCATCAATGCCAAATGCAGTCATTCTAGATTTGGAATGAGAGATCTGCACGTACATCTGGCCCTCCCTGATCCTGCTGTCAACTATCTGAGCTTGATTTTTATGTAGTGGAACACAAGTTACTTGGACTTTTGTAGTGAGGTCTCAGTAACAAACACATTGACCTTCTTTCTTCTGCACCCAGCTCCCCAGACACAAGTCCTATCTTTATGTCTAATTCCATGCTTGTCAGGAGATAGCAGAAAGGAAACCAAGTTTTTGGAGAATAAAATGAGAGAAACTCTTTAGGAAGCAGTGTTTCACCTTTGGACTCAGGTTTGGGATCTTTCAGAAGCACAGTAGGAGCTCTACTTCCCATGTCACATGTTGGGGATGGCTCAAGGAATCGGGGCACTACCAGTCCTAACTGTGCTGAAGAAATACTCAAGCACACAAGTGCCTCGTTAGAGAATACAGGTTATGGACCGGTAAAGGCCAAGGAAATATCACACCATTTTAATTATCTGATACCATTAACTAAAAAAAGATAGAAGAAAAAGCCTAAGAGTTTCTTGGAAAAGCACTTTATGAATCTTAAAGGCTAGAACAAAACTAGAATGGTCAGTGTATCCATTCCCAGAGCCAGTCAATGAAAGGGAGGCTTAGGGTCCAGCCTTTCAGCAGCAGTTCATAGAGAACAGTTCTAATGCTAGCTACATTAAATGCATACAGGAGGGTAACACTCTTGAGGGAGACAGAAACATAATTTCTATTTTTTACCATACCATTAGAATTAAAGTCATTTCATTTCAGTGCAAACTCAGGAAATTTATTTATCCATTTGGAAGAAACTTCAATATCCTATGATAGAATTTACATTAGCAGAAAATTCTTAAGACTAAATACAAACTATCTTAAGACATGAATCGAACTTTCAGTGATTTATTGCATTTGTCAGTACATAAAAATAGGAAGTATATTTTAAAAGAAATTTATTGTAAAAAATGTAAATGTTTCCTTGCCATGGTTTGCACACAATGTACTCTGACATTCCATAGTTATAAAATTTTATTACTATTTCCAATAAAATATGGCAGATAACAAAATGATTCACTTTACTTACTGTGAATATACTTGAATATGTTGAAAATAACTACTATTCAGTATATGCTGTACTGACAGAAACTGTTATAAATTATGTGAAACACACACCCGTCACATCTGTATTTATGGCACTCTTTGTAAAAAAAAGTGTCAGTCGTACATAATCCTATTTTTAATCTCTATTTTTAAGGTACAAAATATAAATGGAGGTATATCTCCTCTATTTGGCAAAAATGAGTCGATCAGAATTAGAATGACAGTATTTACGTTGCCATACAAACGGATTATTTCTGACTGGCTAAGATGACGTGCATGTTATGGAATAAACATTTGCTATTCCAGGAATTTAAAAAATAGACACCTGTTCTGTCATTCCCAACTTTACCTGAGTGATATGAAAATGCATGTAACTTCAAGTGGATAATCAAAGGGCTATTTATTACTCATCTTTCCTTTCATAGTTCTTTTCCATCATTATCAAGTATAGGAGGAAAAAGGGATAGTGAAGATTGAGAACTTCAATACCTCAGTTGTGTCCTAAATCAAATTAGTGACATCCTTCTAAAAGTTCAAATTTACTCTTAACCTCAAGGAAGAGAACCATGTGAACCAAACTCTGCTATTTGCCCTTGCAAGACAGTCTATATAAAATCAAATATGACCGCCTCATTGATTACATCAAACCTACTCCCACCATAGCCGAATCTCACAAATGTAACAGATGGCATAAATTCTCTATCGTAATCATCCCAGTGATGTCATGCCAGAGTTGTAATTCTTACAATAATCAAGCTGACTACAGCTCAACACAAGCTTAAGCTGCTCAGTGACAAAATTGAGGACAGTATTTTAATGAAAATATAAAAATTAAAAAGTCAAAATGTTAGGAGTTGCAGTGTCACATGCCCTGTCTGCCTTCAAAGGCTTTACCTCTAAATATTTTTAGTTCCCTTTCACTAACCTTATCAGTTAAATAGGAACTGTGTCACATTTCCTGCCTAGTGGTTTCTATCCTGTCAGCATTCTTCTGCCTGTCATAAATATTTCTTCTTTTAGTTTGTGCTATTCTTTTTAGAATACTTTTTGTTACCATACATACTGTCTCCCCCTACCACACCAGTAATTTTCCTTAAAATAATGGGGCTTTTAGATTATATTCCTAACCGAGTTTTCTCTTGTCATACTTAAGATTATGATTCCCAAATTTTCAGTACTTTTAAAGTAATTCCTGCATGTTTACAGTTGCTCTTGTACACATAAGCCAGAAATTAACATGCAAGATGGACACAAAGCCAGTCCCATTACAGATGAAGCAACAACAACAAAGGTATGACTAACGCTGAAGTCCTAGAGCTCAAGACCAACGTCTCTGGCCACAAAATTAGAAAAAGTTTCCAAACTCTTGCTAGAGGCTTCATGGCCACTGACAATACATGTTTGTTTTCGACCCCGACTGTCTGAAAAACAGTCTCAAACACATTAGTTGGTAAATAAAGATATACAACCCTAAACATAACCTCTGCCCTTAGCTGCAGAAATAAAGGTCTTTAACGGAAGAATGAAATAGAGATTGCACAAGTGTTCTAAAGTATCAAAATAAAAAAAAAAAAAAAGAAGGATGAACGAAGGGAAAGATAAAGGAAGGCATAAGAAACATGGATGCAATTTTTATAGTTCACCAGCATAATGCTTACAATTAAAGCTGCTGGAATTCCTCCAGTGTGCAGACTGCATGACGTCATGCAGACACGAGGCGTGCAGAGCACTCTGTAAACCTGAAACCATGAGACATATAAGGTGTACCACGAAAGCTCATTCCTAAATATACTATTTTGTTGCATTATTTTTTTCCATTTTAATTCATCACGATTTAGGACAGTCATTCTACAGAGCAAGGAATGACAAGATAAAAAGTAACCTTTAATTGTGGTGAATTTATACATACAAAATACACCTCCCATAATAGGAGTTATCAACTCCTAAAAAACAGGACTTTATAATAATTTATAGAAAACCATTCTTTAGAAATCACACTTTATATAATTTATCTCTTCCTAAACACTGGCATAAAGTGAATATGTTAAGAATCCTACTTGGCAAAGTATCTCTAGTCCTATCTCCAGGGAGAGGTTTTAAATTAGTGACTCCTAATTTTTCTGCTCTAGCTGCTTGAAGAAAGCCAATAAATACAGCTAAAATATTCTATGCTCAACTTGATATAATAATGTGCAGAACTCAATCATACCTAATGCTTGAAGACTGTTTGCAACAACCTGGCATAACATTCGTTCATAGCTTATATTTTTGGTAAAGGAAGTCTTGCAAGTTTCAAGCAGCTTCCTTTCTACATGAAGGCTTTTCCATATGTCTAAATACTACTTCTCACCTACAGCCATTAAATTGTTAATGTGGTAATAGGTTCTATGTCAGAAGGCTTGGGAATTCCTTCATTCTCACATGTAATAAAAAAACTAGGAATAAATAACGTTTCCTAAAATAGCCTCTTGATGTAATTCTATTTCACATCAACTAGAATATTAAGCACACATTATTTTTTAACCTTTGTAACTTTTATTTTCAAAAGGCCCAATGAGGAGGTGTATGACTGAAGTAGTAGAGCCCTAGTCTGTGAAAAAATCCTAAGAAATGGTATCTTGCTTCTGATGGGTTAGGTGCACACACCTATATACTGAGACTTCAGTGTGGAAATTTGATAAAATAGTATGTACAATCATGTAACAAGGCTTCCTAGGTTAATTGTTAGTTAAGTTCTAATCTTTATTATGACTACGATTAGTAGTTCAGCTGTAGACTTACAAAATTGACAGAAGCTAAAATTTTTTGCCACCAAAATTACAAATTTTAAAAAGTTTATGCACAAAGAGCCGCAATAAAGTTCTCTATTTCTATCAGCCATGATCCAGACTGTACCTAACAAAAACACGGTACATGTATACTGGAAAACACAGTCCCATTTATTCATAAGAAACAGCTGGATCTCAGCCTTTACCAGGGAAAAATTCAAGGGCAACCTGCACAGAGGCCTCACTTCCACTTTTTGCAAAAACAAAATAGAGTTTACATAAAAATAGATATAACCCAGGTAACCATATACATTGGTATATGTCCAGTGCTATTTACATTAAAAATGCTGCGTTGCATAAGTTGAGGAATAAAATACCATCATGCATTTCATTTTAACTTTTAAGGTGAAAAATGCAGTTACAGAACTAAGTTTGCTTACCATGATTGTCCCAATAATTACTAGAAGAGGAATAACGCCCTAAGGCCTCTTGTTCTCGTACCTCTGTCACACCTTAAGTGGAACAGACATCAAATCACTTATGCAACAAGAAACTTTTGAATAATCTCTATTATACTGACATAGTAAACAAAAGTTATGGATACAAAGCACACTGAAAGTTTTGTATGAAATAACCATAACCCAAAAAGTACAGTTCTTCAAAAGTAAAAATAAAACCATTTGGATGATCATAAAGGAGCACTGAGGTCCTTTCAGAATTTAATGTTACTCTTCAGACAAGTACAGACATGACACGCTTCTAGAAAGGAACATTCTTTATCATCCTGCACAAATTAAAATACAAATGCATTCATCAGAAAAATGGGGACACTATATAATGGTCACGTTGGATGCAGTTTTTGTCATCTCTTCTGGAGAATGGCTCTTCACCACCTCTTTGATGAACTGCTCCAGTGCAGGGAAATAGCCTTGGCACTGCCACGTGTCGTTATGCGTTCCCTCTGGGAAAATGGCCAGCCTCTTAGTCCGAGACGGGGAGAGCTCATAGAGCTGCTTCATCATCACTGGTGGAATTAGCTGGTCAGAGAGTCCGGAAATGAAGAGCGAAGGCATTCTGCACTGGGAGATTTTTCGGTAGGACAAAAACTTATTTTTGTAGCACCATAAAGGAAGGTAACGCATTGGGAAGAATGAAAACAAAGTGCTGGCCATGTGTGGTATGCTTAGAAAGGTGTTCTCCACCATGATGGCTGAAATCCTGTGTGAATTCTCGGAAGCCAGATGAATAGCCACTGCCCCCCCCAAGGAACGGCCAAAGAGGAAAACTTTGGTCTTGTCAAGGTCGGGCCTCGTCATCACGTAGTCCAGCACGGCTTCCGAGTCTAAATACAGTCCTTCCTCGCTGGCTGCACCTTCGCTTTTCCCATAGCCTCGATAGTCGACGAGCAAAAGATTCACTTTGAGGTTAACCAACATGAGCAGTGCATTTGGTAACCTGTGACCTATGTTGCCCGCATTCCCGTGAAAGTAGATGACAGTCGGGGAGTAGGGTGAATTGTCCCCGGTGTATCGTATCAAAATCAGATTCAGACGCACTCCATCTTTGGTTCTGATGAAAATGTTTTCATGAGGAATACCGGTGGGCATGGGAACATAAAGGCGTGAAGAGGATGGCTGTTCTGGGAAGTAAAGCAATACATCCTGGAACTTATACAGTATACCCGCTATTGATATGAATATTAACAAAAGCAAGATAATGCCTCCATGCAGATGGAATGTCACTATTAAAGGTAAGAGAGAAATGCGGCACAGAGCCCAAGACCAGGAAGCCAAGGCTATCAGCCATCTTTCAATGGAGTTCCAGAACATCCAGGACTTTTCCATTGTAGCTCTCTGTAAGTATCCTAAAGAGGGAAAGAGAGAGAATATCAATGATTCACACACACTGCTTATTGTAAAAGTCTGACCTACAATGTGGCCTTGGAGCTGACATCACCGGTGCCCACTAATCTTCCCTGCCCCTTCGTGTCTCAGTAGTTTCCAGTCTGCCTAATCTTTCCAAACCATACGTATGACGGGCAAGCATTCCAGTGCTTCTGGTTTATGTTAAACAAGCTTTGTGTGAATAAAAGTCCATACATGAGAGCTTGTGTTCAGTGAAACAACACATTTGCTTATATACAGTGCTTATGTGTTCTCTGTCCTCACTGACCTGAGGGAAGAACCAGTTTATGGTAGTCCCAGTTTTACATCTGAGGAGATGAAGCTGGGGCCATCCCCCAATGCTCCAGGCATAAGAGGCAGGAGGCAAAAAGCACAATTCCAACATACCTGTGAATCCACTGTCTCCGGTAAACTACTATGTGGCTAGATGACTTTAACCAGGGACACTCTGATATAATTTAATGCCATTTCTCTTTCACAATACAGAAAAATATATTATAACTGAATAATGAATCTTTTCGAACTTGAACCAAAAGCCTGTCACCTTTTCTACATTCTCACAAACCAACACTGCCACCTAGTGGTAGCAAGTGGAATGCTGAGGACAAGCACTTGGAAGGGGCAAACCTGATTCTTGGCCAGGCGGATGGTTCACACCTGTAATCCTAGCTACTCCGAGTCTGAGATCTGAGGATCACGGTTAAATAAAAAGCCAGACCAGGCAGGAAAGTCCATGAGACTTTTATCTCCAATTAACCACCAGAAAACCGGAAGTGGCACTGTGGCTCAAGTGGTAGAACACTAGCCTGGAGCTGAAGCGCTCAGGGACAGTGCTCAGGCTCAGAGTTCAAGCCCCACAACCAACAAAAACAAAAAACAAAATGAAAACCCAAAAGACGCAAAAAATACCTGATTCTCTAAATATTAAATATGGCTAATAAAGGATCATTTTACCATCTACCAGTTATTTGCCAACAACTTACAATAGTTATGTATATTCCTTTAAAGAAAATAAGCCTCAGTTAACATATATGGTCACGTAACTTAACTTGGTTGGTTTTTTATGTACAAGTAACTTCTGCATGGTTTTGGTTTGTTCCCAGAATTTTTTATTAGAAAATCTGACAGTAAACTGGCATTAACATCTCATATCAAAGTAAAGTAAGTCTGGCTGGGGATATAGGTCAGCAGTAGAGCACTTGTGCAATCCAAACATGATTTTTTTTTTTGCCCTGCACTGTAAAACAACCAAAGCAGAAACAGAGACTTTAATTTTGGCATTGCGTAGGATCTAAATGTTTTTTGGTAATTCACATATTCTGTTTACATACAGGACATATGTAAATATATAGACCATATCTCCATATATAAACTGTATATCTCCATATATAAACTATTACATAGTCTATTTACACATTCATTGAGAAAGACACACAGGTGCTATAACCCTACAGCATTTAGCAAATAGGTTACTATTTCTTTAAAAATACAGTGTAACAATGTCTGGTGCTGGTGGCTCATGCCTGTAATCCTAGCTACACAGGAGGCTGAGATCTGAGGATCCCGGTTCAAAGCCAGCCTGGGCAGGTACATGTGAACTTCCTATAGGCAGCAGTTAAAAAAAATTATTTACTAAATTTGCTCAGTCTTGGTTAAAAAAAAAATACCACAAGCCAACCACTATGATATATCATCATCCTTTTATAGACTCTGATGATCTGATAGTCAATGAAACTGAAATACTACATATAATAGTCAACTGCACAGAGGCTAAGCCAGTATTCAGTAAACGTTCCATTTCTACTTTTCTACATTAAGAAGTTAGGGGCTGGGAAGGTGGCTCAGTGGTAGAGCGCTTAGCCTTGCATGCTCGAGGCCCTGGGTTCGATTCCTTAGCACCACATAAGCAAAAAGAAAAAAGCCGGAAGTGGCGCTGTGGCTCAAGTGGTAGAGTGCTAGCCTTGAGCTGAAGAGCTGAGGGACAGCGCCTAGGCCCAGAGTTCAGGCCCCACGACAGGACCCCCCCCCCCCAAAAAAAAAATAAAAAAAAAAGAAGTTATTTTGTAAATGAAGGAGAAATTGTCTAATATATTGATCAAAGCCATAGTTACTGGAGAGCATTTAATCTGGAGGGATGATACATGTTTTGACACTTTAGAGCTGGGTAGATTGGAGCTTTGTAATAATCTACATATATATCATGAATAATTTCAGAAATCTGGTTTACTTTCAACCACTTCTTTTACAAATACTGTGCTTTCTATGTCCAGATGTCTTCTTTTCATATAAAGATATATACATATATATGTATATATAGATATTTGGTCATGGGGCTTGAATTCAGGGCCTGGATGCTGTCCTTGAGCTCTTTTGCTCAAGATTAGTGCTCTACCACTTTGAGCCACAGTGCCACTTCTGGTATTGGAAATTGGAAATAAGAGTCACACAGGACTTTCCTGAGTGGGTTGGCTTTGAATCGTGATCCTCAGATCTCAGCCTCTGGAGTAGCTAGGATTATAGGCATGAGCCACTACACCCAGACCCAGGTTTCTTTTCTTCTTCTTCTTTTTTTTTTGCCAGCCCTGAGCTCTATTCAAAGCTAGCACTCTACCATTTGAGCTAAAGAACCACTTCCAGCTTTTTTTTTGTGATTATCTGGAGATAAGAGTCTCATGGACCTTCCTGCCCAGGCTGGCTTTGAACCACAATCCTCAGATCTCAGCTTCTTGCATGGCTAGGATTACAGGTATGAATGAGCCACCAGCACCTGGTTATCTTTTCTTATTTTTAAATTCTATGGTCTTATCAATAAGATCCTCAAGATAAATATTTACCCTTTATAGTGTTCTACTTTTGATGAAAAAAATAAAGCTAGGATAATATTTCTTAGACCTGCTCGAGAGCAGGCATATTAAAAGATTCATGTAGATGAAAGAATTATATTGTTAGGAGAAAATTAAGGTAGTATTGATTATTGACAATTGCTGTGTCTGTTCAGAGGTGATGTTATTACAAATTTTGGGAAATCAAGACTACATTTTAATAGCAAACATATTTTTAAGGTGATGCATTTAACTGTTATTCTTTTATATCACATAATTTTGAAGAATACCAATTTTTCTCCAAGTTTAATTATGTGCATATGTTTTTGTGATTTTGATGTGCAGACCATCTAAATGACACTGTCTAAGTATTGATCCCTTCTTTGTGTTTTTTATTTCCATGTAAATGTACTGTTATACGTTTAAAAACAAAAAAGGAGGGTTAACAAAGCCTTTCTCTTTTTCTGTAAAAAAGCAGCCTGCGGTTAACCTTCCAGACTGTTTCCCTGGAAACCTGATAACCTGAAATATTAATGTTGTTTCTAAGCAACGCTATTTCTCATAAAAAAAAGAGCTACCTCTGGCCCAGAGGGCAGAGGAAGGGCCAAGGGACAGTGGCTAGGGGCCTCTCTGCATGAGCTCTGAGATGGAATCAGTCTGTCCTTGATGATCCTGGGTGACATGTCCAAATACTGTGACAAAGACACTATGTCTTGGGAAGCAAGCAGCTAAACCAAGTGCCTGCTCCCTTTCAAGTGTCATCTTTCTCTGGTCCTCAGCTGACTTGTGCTGACAGGGGTTCCCGACCTGAATCCTTCAACAAAGCAAAAATAGCTGGCTCTCAGGATGGAACTTGGGTCCTAGAGTATGAACAATTCAGCTGATCCCAAGTCTTGGCCATCTTGGTGAGTGAAATAATTCACTGTTCCTGAAAGTATGTACTCTGTGACAAGAACTTTATGAGAAGTGCGATGGGAAGACAAGGATCTTCTGTCAGGGTTTTCTGCCTGTTGAGATGCACTAGCTTCATAAACCACCAAGAGAAATGATGCCTTAGTCACTACCAAACGGGTTACTCCGTGGGAGAGAAACTAGATGTGTTCTGTGAAGGACACAGAAACAGCCAACAATCGTTCCTCTGCGCCTCTCCTGGGTTACTCTTGGGTAATGTTCACCTGGTTCCTGTTTCCCACGTGAAGGCTGGCCTTCGCCCTGGTCTCAGTTGTCTGTCATGTCTTCAGAGCTGATCTCACAGGCCACACAAGCATCTCTACAACTCATCAGTTTGTGGCGTTAGTCACTCCCTGTTAACTCTGTAAACACAGAGAACCTGGTGAGTGAGCTCTTGTGAACCATCTCCTAGAGGGTAGCCCTCAGCGCGGTAGCACGGGTCTCCCCTCCCCTCTCCCCCCACTGCACTGCTGCACCCTGAGGTGGTGGTCCCCCTCCCCCCTTCCCCATTGCACCCTGCGGTGGTGGTCACTCTCCACTGCTCCCCCGCAGCCAGCACACTTCAATTCCTGTTTTTCTCTAGCCTTTCTTCCTGGAGGCAATTCCCAAGGTTTTGTCCATGTCCATCCCCTTATTACTTCTTATTTAGATTGGGACAGTCCCCCCTAAATCTCAAAAACTGAACCCATCCTCCTTTGCACCAATGTTTCACACACAGTACGTTCATTATGACCAAAAAGGCAGGGCATGTAGGCAAACACATGCTTTAAAAGCATTAGCTTGATTCCAAGGCTCTGTATCTATGTAAGCTAAAATTTAATTATGTTTTATGGTATCAAAGAGTCACTAATTATAGTCAGGCACCTATAATCCTAGCTACTCCGGAGATTGAGATCCTAGCATAGAGGCTGTGTCCACAAAACACCACTTCAGGACCTGGGACTTCCACTAGAGTCCCACAGTTCATACCAAGCCTACTCCTTAAACAATCGTCATCAGGTTCTAATATATCCTACTATACTATTCAAATATGAAAGGTATCACCACAAATGATATGTGCAGATACTGCTATACAGTGGTTAGCCATTTTAATACTTGTGTAAGCTATTTAAGAATGGTAAATATGCTACAGTCTTTGCTCTCAGACAGAAACAGGTGCAGAAATACATGACTAGACTTGTGTAGTCCTTCATTTACAGAGGACACAAGGAAAATGGAAGACAACTGCTTTGAATGCAGCAAGGGAAAAATCAGAACTTTACATAATTCTAGTCATCTACTTGGGTTTCATCACACTTGACTACTTATAGAATCCAAATGAAAACTTAAACTTTTTAAAAACAGGACAAAGCATAGTTCCAGAGTTAAATATTTCTACTAATTTCTATTGAGCAGCTGTCTGTCACATATTTCTAATCACTTAGCACAATTATCCTGGAATTATTTAGGAATTGGAAGTAATTAAAAGCAATATTTAAATAGATACTTGGCAAAGACAGTGTACACATAAGCAGAGCATTGAGCTTTAAAGGCTCTAAGTCAAAGATGGACTGATGCCAGTGGTTCTCAAAAAAGGCTGAAAAGGAGCCTCTTAAGTGGCCCACAAATCAGGTCAATGGTCCACACTCACTGTAATACTACTTACCTTTTCACTGATTGACATCTGCACTACTAGTCTCTAAGCAGTGTTGGAGAAGGAGCTGGAACCTTACCAAGAATCAAGTCAGTAGACTGGGTGTGACTACAATTCACATTCCCACAAGCTCAGGAAGATCTGGAGCCTACCCAACCATCAACACAAAGGTGGGGGGTGCGGGGGGGAAGCACAACTGCCACCCACATCAATGTGAACTCATGGAAAGGAGAGGGAAGTCAATTTCACTTACCAATGGCATTAAGATGCAGTGAAAATTAACTGTACTTCAACCAGGAAATATACATCTTTTTAATTCACTGTGTGAGATATGTGATATGTGTTCTGTAGGGAAATAATTTCACCTGGAAGCTGCTCTGGCTAGTGTTTTTATTGCTTTTTTTTTAAATCTATCTTTTAAGTGGCAACATTTTAATTTAAAAAGACAGCTGACAAACTGGTTCTTAGAATGAAGTTTCTAATTGCTCCGTACCATTTAAGAGAATATTCTGATGCTTTTGCAGCTATGGCCATACTAACATATATACGTTTGGATAACATATTAAACGTGACAGAATTTACAAGAAACAGTCTAACTCAATAAACCACTATATTCTAAAATGACCAAAGAATAGTGTCACAAATTCACTCCAGCCTGAGTGAAGTGTTCATCACTGGATAAACCAATGAATTTTAACATGTCAAGACAAAACTTCATTGACATGGATTTTGGACATGATATCTAACACTTCAGGAACTGTAAGAGAACCCAGAATTCTCTGCTATGACAAGGCCATTACTTCTCTGCTTAGTTCATTTTCTCATGTCTTACTTTTCTAAAAGAGCCCAAATGCAGAACATGATACTATGCCTATCTGCTATATAAGCAGATACTATTTTTTTAATGTTAAAGAATGCCACTGTCATTTTTTGTAGTTATTACATATAAAGTATTTATAAGTACGCAATGGACTTAATGCTATTCATTTATAAATGCCCACTACTAAATTCCAACACTAATAACACCTTTATAACCCATATACAGAAAAAAATATTTGGGGTAGTAAAGTGGTCAATGGATTAAAAACTTGAAGAATGTTGTTCTTATCTAATTTAACTAACTTTATTGCTTTTCCTCTCAGATCCTCCATTCTTTCAAATTAAGACTACTACATATCATATAATTACATCCTTTGTTCATTATAAATATATTTAATGCTTTTTACTTGCTAATATGATCTAAAATTAAATGCAAACAAATACATCAAGAACCAAATCTCGAACTATAAGAATGGATGCATTTTAATTAACAATGCCCTAATACTAGCAGAGCAAACTGATCAGTCTCTTTTTTCTACCGAAGGTCAAAAGTGCCCACAAATAAAATTATTTAATACTTATTCTATATTCTAATATGTACTAATGAATTCTACATTATTCTAATTATTTTTAACTAAAACACTGCACATTGTATTGCACAGTACATATCTGCAATACTGGTTCCACAGAAAATCTTTGAAAAAGATTTTCTATAAGTGAATTACCTACATGTGAATTCTCAAATGATAAAATTTACATAATGACTAAACAGTTACAAATGTAATATATGTCTTAAATTGAAGAGAACTTTGTATTATCTGCAGAATTATAGAAGCATTATGGCTTTATAGCATCATAGGGTAAGTGTGTCTACAGGTTAAAAATGCATGCCTCCAGTAACAGAACCATGTGCAGGTTCAACTGAGTGCTGTGAAGAGTGGCAAGGTGGTGCTCACCGTGCAGAGGCTAGCATGGCTCGTTTACAGATGGGACTCGCAGCTGCCCATTGCCTTTCAGGCACAGAACACTCAGACTCAGCACCCCTACATCAGTACACCTGCTAAGCGCTGGGAAGGGAGGAAACCATGCCAGCTGCACAGCTGAAATGGAAACACAAATAGCTGCTCTCTGTGTGCTGGAGACACCACAGAATGAGCTGTCCGTTTCCCTCATTGCTACCCACATGCCATCAGTAACGAACAAGCGTATGAATAGTCCTGGGGACAAGTGCACAGCCAGTGCTCAGGGAGATGCTGGAGGCAATGCAGGTTCCAAGAGCATCTGAAACCTGTAGGAGCGTATCCATCAGAAATTATGCTGGGTAGGAACTTAGTAATATTTTTGTTTGGCTCTTTCCTGAAATACTGAAGACTTGGCACAGTAATTTTTGACAAAAACTAAAAACGACAGATTATCACCATGGAAGCCAATTACAATTTGTTCTGACATTATAAGCCCCTTCAAGTATGAAAATGGTAAACAACAGTAAGAAATCCACAAGCTTAAAAATGCAGCCAATGGCTGTTATTAGAATTTGTACTCATAATAAAATTAAGGAAGTTTGCAACTTATGTAACCTATGAACTAGATAAATGGAACTTATTTTCTTATGAAACCACTTCAAGATCCGGGTTAGTTAGGGAAGGTGCTCAGGCCATGGCCTGGAAATGCTATCGTCATAAATGATTGCAGAAGAATCACCATTCATGATCACTACCGGTTAAGATTAAGCAGGATAAGGCATAGTAATGTGCTAGAAAGCAGGTGGGGTGATTTGAAAAGAAAAGCTTGACTAAAATGAAAGCTTTTTAGCATCTACTCTAAAAGTAGTATTTAAGAACTTCTGATTTTCCCAAGACAATTAAACATGACTCTTTGAGAAAGTAGAGCTTTAAGATTTTAGGATCTTTGAGGAATTAAATGAGTTCTAAATTAGTGAAAAAAAATAGAAACACATCCCCCTGAAATAAAGTGGCAAGAGACAGACAATAACTTCTGGTATTTATACTAAAGTACATTGTTGGCCGAGGACAACTTGGTCAGTAAACCCTCTTACTCTCATTGCAAAGGATCTTGGCTGTGTCTGAGACTCGGGGCAGTGAGCCAGGAGCTACCTGCAGGCACAGGTGTGGAAGCTGCCTTGCTTTCATCATTTCTGAATTTACTGCCAATGGAAGTCAGTATGGTGCAGGCTAAAGGAGACTGTGTAGGGGAACGGCCTATTAGTAGGTATCTTCTGCCAACTTACTTGGCCTGTCTAAATGTATGTTTCCTCATAAGTGAAAGAACTGAATCATTTAACCAAAATATTGCTGAGATCAAACACAATACTGTGCTAATAATCTATGAAACAAAATGTGGAGTATTTTTCTTACCTCCTGTAGCAGGGTAAGTGAAAGCAAGTACACCTGGAGCCCTACTGGACTTGGATTAATTAGTGGAAAGGGGTTACTCATATGCACACAGGACATAACCAAGCATTGCCTCTGTTTTCTGTCCACACCAAGCTTTCTGTGGATTGACTCCCACTGCAGCCGTCCCTTATTGCCATTTGTGTGCAAACTTGCAGGGAACAACTTACTCTGGCAGTGTGATAACCAGTCTCGGAGGCTGTCAGTTCTGTGCTGAGAGTGACTTCATGTAATTCCACTCTACATTTTCAGTCTTCAGAGCTCTTTCTAGTGCATTGCAAGCTTGACTGAGTGAAGACTGCACCTTAGTCACTAAGCCAGTAACCACCAGTGTATTGTTACTTCATCATGGGAGATGATAGGTAGGAGACTGTGTCTGAGGCCCACACCGAAGAATAAAGAAAAAAAGAAAGAAAAAGATCCTACTTGAAAATAAGGTTAAAAAAAAAAAGGTATAGTGGTGTGGCTCAAGTGGTAGACGCCCCTACCAAGAAAAGATGGAGACCTTGGGTTTCAAATCCCATACCATTAGATAAAAAAAAAAATTAATATTTTAGGTAAAGATATCTGATCCACACAGCATGCACGCAATACTGATAGCGCACACCAGGAAGACCTGCTAAAGACTAGCCTCTAAACGTCCAGCCAGCACACGCTCGCATCTTCACGCTCAGAGACCCTCGCACAGCGAAACAGGTGCAGAAGCGCTGCTCAATGGCAGGCTGGTTTTGGGTTCTGATACCCGGGCCAGCCACGTCGATGCTGCACTTGGCTTAAAACCAACGAGGACAAGGATCAACCCCCCCCCCCCCACCCTCCGCCACCCCCCGGCAGACTCCCCTTTCCGCGGGCCGTCCCGGTCCTCCGGAAACACCCACCGAACTTGCAGGTATTCGGGGGTCGGAAGCGACGCGGCCAGCTCATGACGCCGGGCGTGGCGGCTGGGTGGCTCCGGGGTGAACGTTGACTTCCCCCCGGGGGGGCGCCGGGCGGGGCGGGAGGGGGCGCGGGCAGAGGGGCCAGGGAGGAGGCTGGCCCGGCCGGACACGGAGCGGACCAGGGGGGCCGGGAGGGCAGCGACGCCGGCGGCCCGGGTGGCGTGCGCACCTCGATCTCCCGCACAGGTGCGTGTGCGGTGGCAGACGGTCGAGTCGGGGTGCCGGCCCCCCTCCCCGTCGGTGCGCACGGCCCGGCCCGCCCTCCCCCTCCAGCCCCCCCAGCTCGGTCCTCCCGCCCCCTCCCTCCCCCGACCTCCCTCGGGAAGGCCCGGCCCGCGCAGCCCCGCGTCCCCGGCCTCACTTACTCAGACCTGCCGGCAGGCCGCGCAGTCGGCCGCGGGCTCGAAACCGGGCGCCGCGCAGCAGCGTCGCCCCGCGCCGCGCCGCTCGCTCCTCCTCATCGTCCTCCCGCAGTCCAGGGGCCGCCGCCGTCGCCGTCTAGCCAGGAGCTCCGGCGACGCTCTTCTCTGCGGCCCCACTTCCGGCCCGCGCCCGGGTGTCGCCCGCAAACGTCCCCGCCGGCTCCCACATCACCTGAGCGCCGTCCTCCACCCGGGGTGGGTTGGGAGGGGGGAGGCGGAGAAAGAGAGCGCGAGCCCGGCCTCCGGGCATGCGCAGAAGCCACGTGACGAAGGGGCGCGCGACGGCGGCCGGGATGGACAAGATACCCCGGCGCGGCGAGCGGGGCACTTCTGCGGGTACATCGAGTCCCTCTTTCCTTCCTCGGAGCACCGGGAGACGTTTTAAACCCATGCCCCAGGCTTCTGGGTTGAGAGGGGGCTGGGATGGAGCCGGGCTGGGAGGACTGGAGCCGGTAACTGAGCACACAAGTGCTTAGTTTCTGCAGAACCGATTGTGTCTGTCTTGCGGGGTTGTCAGGGGTGTTTAAAGTTCCAGAATTCAAAGCGTTGCCCTATTTTCCTTTTTTAACCTCTGTCAGAGTGAACCTTCAAGGACAGAGGCAGGCCTGAATCCTGCGCAACTTTTTGATGAAAAAAGAACTCAAAATTGTTTTTTCCTTTTATTTTTCCTTCCTTCCTTCCTTCCTTCCTTCCTTCCTTCCTTCCTTCCTTCCTTCCTTCCTTCCTTCCGTCCCTCCCTCCCTCCCTCCCTCCCTTCCTTCCTTCGTTCAAATTTTACAAAAGCACGAGAACATGGGAACAAGTTAGACTGCAGCCTGGGAACCTCGCACTTCGTTGGCTTTCCTGTCAAACTCGCTTTGCACTGACAGTTGACTACAGATGTTTGCGTTCCCTTCTCCATTCTATGTGTCCAAATTTATATATACAAAAGACCGTTCATAGGTTTTTGTTGTTTGTTGGTTAGTGTATTCACAATGTATCCTGGTCTCCTATTTTCACCACCTGGTAATTGCCAAGCACTAAAGCATACCGTTTACCAAAAAAAAAAAAAAAATTAAACGAATAATCACAACAAATAGAAAGGTCATTAGAGAAAAACCTTGGTTCTCTTTGACCCAAACAGATAAAATAACACAATAAATTGGAGATTGGAATTTGCCTAGCTTCATAATCTATGGCTGTTTGCCTCAGTGATACAGCTCTCAGCATTGTAGGAGCTCAGTGGAGGTCGAGAAAGACACAAATGCACAATAATAAGTAAACAGAGGAAGAATTGGGGCAGCGGAGAGAGGTGCGCATGATCAAGTAGTCCCAGTGCCGGTCTGGCTTGGCTGGTCATTGGCTGGTCACCTTCAGTTCAGGTTCGGAGGGGTAGCAGGGAAGTGGTTATCGCTGTCATCACTGGAGGAGAACAGCTGGATCTCATGATCTTATCTTCCTTTAGGGGGCAGGAGGGTGTGAGGGGAAATTGTTCCTTCCTTTGGAGACAGTTTCCCTAGTGGTGATAGTTTCAGTCCCTTGTCTAAAAGATCATCAGTGTTGCCCTTCCTGGAACCTTTCAGTTGGCAAGAAAGATTCCAAATAAAGTACAGGTGTAACATGGAGACTGAGGCGCCTAGCTTCCTCCGCTTTCAGTTCATTCGTAGCCCCAATTACAGGCTTAATTAAATTCCCGCGTCCTTCCTGGGTCCTCCCTGACCACGCCCCTGGTCAAGCCACGCCCCTATCCTCAGAGGCCCGCTCACCTCGACGGTGACGTCACGACTCAGGGCCCCAGGGCGCACGCGCTGACAGCAGCTGGCGGAACCGGCTTCTTGCAGAGGCAGCTTCCGGTCTGGTAGCGGCGGAGGCGGTACCTGCGTGAGGTTGGTGCGGCGGGCGCTGGTGGGGCCGGGGGGCCTCAGCGGGGCTCTGCGCGGGAGTGGCCGGGACTCTTCGCGCTCACCTAGCGGGGCGGCGTGCGTGTCCCGTCTCCTCAGTCAGCAGGACCCGGCCTCAGACCCGCAGCGTCCTAGGTCTTGACCGGGCACCTCCCACCCGGCTGCTGCCCGCCTGGGGAGAGCGGGGCCGGGGGCTGTGGGGGATCGGGGCCGGGGGCTGTGGGGGGATCGGGGCCGGGTGCTGTGGGGGGCCCGGGGCCCGTAGGCTGTGGGGACCGGGGGCTGTGGGGGGGATCGGGGCCGGGGGCTGTGGGGGGATCGGGGCCGAGGGCTGTGGGAGGATCGGGACCGGGGGCTGTGGGGGATCGGGGCCGGGGGCTGTGGGGGGATCGGGGCCGGGTGCTGTGGGGGGATCGGGGCCGTGGGCGGGGGGGGGGACCGGGGGTTGTGGGGGTCAAGGGCCCGGAGGCTGTGCAGACAAGGGATGGGCTTTGCGGGTGACACCGCCGCCCCAGGCTAGGCCCGCGTCCAGCTAGCGTCCAACTGGCGTCCAGGCCGCGCTGAGGCTCCTGCGGGTCCTGGGAACCGACGGGCTGGTCTGGGTCCTGCGGACACCTGGACCCCAGGTCACAAAGGGGGGCCCGTGGGCCTGGGAGTCGTCCCTGGACGGGGAGGAGGGTTTGGGATGACCTTGCGGGGCCCCAGTGCCGCCGGAATGGAAAGGAGGCCAGGTTTGGGGGGAATTGCCTTCTTGCTCCTCTTGCACTTGGTGTTTCATTAACTTTCTGCCCCCACGTTCCCCCAGCTGCTGCTTCCTTTCCACGGACTCCCGGTAGGACTGTAGGGACTGTGGACGCCCAGGGCCCCCTCCAAGCCTCACCCTCTCTCTCAGAGACAGTCTGTCGGGATTGCTAGAGAGGAATTTTATTTGTACCGTCACTTTCTTTTACTCTGATATAATAGCGCTCAATCACCTTCTGCCTTCACTAAGTAAAACCTGTTGCTTTGTTTGTTGTGGCCATTGGTAGCAGCCACATGGACGAGTCATTATTGTGTGCTGTCTTTTTTCTTGAATGCTCTGTCATATCAGTGCTAAAAAGTGGCGCATTTTCTTCTCTATCCCCCACTCCTTAATGCTGAGTGTGTTGTCAATATTAGATGTTAAATGTTGCTTGGATCAGCAGGTGATGAAGAAACAAAAGTATCACAGATCCAGTAGTGCCTCCTGTAGCAGCTTTTGCAGAGTTTACATTTGAACTTAGGTTTTTTAGACTGCAGCCTGAACCCTTACAAACTTCTTTTGTCCTAATAAAAATGGAAAGCATCACCTAAATACCCTCACATGTAAAATACAATGGCAGTTCTGATGCTTGTTCATTCAGTTTAAATAAGCAGAAATTTTTATGTCTGTTCATTTTACAGTAATTTTGTAATGCTGTTATCACATATAGTCCTTTTAGTTTCTGTGGATATCTAAGCCATTACATAAGTTTCACCATAATTATTAAGTAATTTGTTTTAATGGGATTTGTGAAGGGGACGTTTTGGGACCTATAGAATCTGCACATGAATCTGTAAAAAGTATAGACTCGTACTTGAACATCCAGAAAAGTATTTCTTAATATCATATTACCTCCTTTATGCATGAGCTGTAAATGTAGATTATATCATGATGAACCCACTTAAGGGAACCAGGTGGTGGTGTCCGTTACACAAACCAAATTCAGCAAGGGGAAGCAGTTACTGTAATCGTAGATAAAAGTCTTAAGAGTCCCAGGTGGCTTTATGTCTTGATCTAACCCAGTCAGTAGAAACTTGTGTTTCCTTTATCAGAAATTAGATTGAGAAGGTTTTGTTTTTTTTTCTCTAGCCACTAAATGGCTGTTGTGAGCCACTGCCAATGCAGTCAGAACCTAACTTCCCCCAACAGCCATGTTGGTGTGTGTTTAACCTGCCCATGACCTTTTATGATGTGCTTTTTCCAGAACTCAGTTTCAGGTATTAGCAATTCATTCAGCAAAGAAACCTACTATGTATCCATTACTGGTCATAAAAATTATAGCATGATATCTGGCCACTAGAGATTGTATTTGTGTGTCTGATTTTTTTGCTGGAGTAAAGAATTGGCATACATGGACTCTCATGTTCTTTCCACCACAGTAGATTCCTGTACTCCTTAAGAAGCTATTTGGAACAAATGGAGCAGTCAGTGGTCCTCACTAGACACTATGGTAAAAATGAACTATACAACATGTATATGGGGAGAAGAGGGAAAAACTGAGAGCAAGGGAAAGGGGTGACATTGTAAAAAAAAAATGCACTTATTACCTGACATGTAACCCCTCTGTGTATAACCTTTATAATAACAAAAAGTTAAAACTAAAAAAAGGAGAAAGTTAAAACTAAAAAAAGGAGCTACTTAGTCTAGAGAACAGTGACTCAAACCTCTTAATATCTACTAAGGTAGTTGAGATAGGAGAGGATTGGACTGAAGTTCAAAGACAGGCCAGGCAAAAAAGTTCAACAGATTTCCTTCTCAACCAAAAGCCAAAACTGGGTGTGATAGTACTTAAAGGGAGTATATTCAAAGAATTGTAGTCCAGGTATTTCCCAGGGTAAATGTGTGACTATTTGAAAAGTAACTAAAGCCAAATGTGTTGGGAATGGCTCTTAGTTGACAGATTGTCTGCATAGCAAGGTCAAGGCCTTTGATTCCATAAGCTATTCTCTCTAGCTGAGGAAGAGTAAGTCTCATTGCTGGATAAAAAGTCTGTAATGTCTTTGGTTCTTATGGCGGGCATCAGACACCCCAGTGTGAGGACAGCATATGCTGGGGTACCAGCAGGTGTCTGAAGCCATAATATAAACCATCATTTTAATTTATTCCTCCATTTAACTTGATGTCATGTTTGGTAAAGTTTGTTTTAATGCTTTATAGTTGAAACCACATTGAAACAACTTGAGTATTATACATTTCAGTAGACCTTTCAAGGATAATTTAAACTTTAAAGAAATTTCACATTTATTGCAACCACTTTAGGAAATACTCTAGATAATACCTCAATAGTATATACATGATTTATTCTGTGATTTGAGAAGACTTAAATGAAAATGCTCTGTTTTAAGACATTTTATTTTTGTTAAAGCACTCAGCATTTTATTATAGTTAGTTCTCATTGTATCCCTTTTTCTTTGCAGAATATATACTTTTTAGAAGCAGAAGCATCCCCTTTGCTGTAGTACCATCCTGGCCAATAATCACTGAATACATGGAAATAAATGGCATGAAAATATGAACAGAAAAAGTACATAAA